ACTGTAGGTAAGGTGCTGGGTCCACTCCAAAGAGGTCATCCCAGGGCTAAAGCAGCCTTTGTATGGGGCAGCCCAAAGGGTGGTGGGTGCTGAAGAGGAACATGGAGCAGCCATGGCCATAGGTGGGAGGTTGGAGAGCATAAAGGGTGCTCTGGGGCACTTGCACCCTAAAAGGGAAGCTCTGGAAGGTGCATTTCTGCATGGTGAGCTGGGTTAGGAAAGGGAGAGAGGGTGGATGGGTGGGTGCCTGTAAGCTCATCACTGCAGCAAGCTGGGCTCCTAACACACGTCCCCACCACAGTCCCATTTAGCTTCAACCCTAACTCCGCCGCGGGCTGGCTCTCGGTGGCTGAGGACCTCACCAGCGTCTCCAATGGCGACTACAAGATGCTGATGGAGAACCCCGAGCGCTTCACCTCAGCCCCCTGCGTCCTGGGCTCCTGTGGCTTCTCCACTGGCTTCCACACGTGGGAGGTGGACCTGGGCACCGTCAAGAACTGGAGGGTGGGGGTGGCCCGCCTGCGCAATGCCAACCACTGGAACTTCCACCATGATGCTCGCTCCGGCTTCTGGTACATCTACAGCCTGTCCTGGAAGGACAGCGAGATGTGCCGAGCATCCAACATGGCATGGTCGGAGGCAGCGATAAGCAACCTGAGACGGATCCGTGTGGAGCTGGACTGCGACGAAGGGGAGCTGTCCTTCTACGACGCCGACCACAAGACCCACATCTACACCTTCCATGAGAAGTTTGGTGGCACTGTCTTCCCCTACTTCTACATTGGGGGTAGACTGGTGGGTGCGATGCCCAGTTCGCTCCGCATCTGTCCCCTCCGGGTCCAAGTCCATGCGGATGTGCCTGTCTAGTGGCCACCATCTCCTGACACTACTGCCTCTACCTGTATTTGGGGTTCTGGTGCTCTTTTAGCTTTCCTCAGGAAAAGAACAGAACAAAAAGAATGTATGGATGTACTGTCTCTATTTTTTTTCCTCATTAATAAACATTTTGCTCTTTTTCCATCTCTCGGTGTTCAAATCACTTCTGTTCCTTTCCTGCATCCCTCCTGTATCAAAGCTGGAAGGCTTTGTGGAAGAGGTATCTCCCTGCCAGGGGGCTGTAAATAGGAAATTAAACTACCTGGGGGCTCCTGAAGCCTGTGGGGAGGGAGGAATCCCACGCAGCTTGGCTTTACTCAGGCAGAAGCTGGTCTTTCCCCTCTACAAGGAGAACTATTAGTGGGAACATCCTTGAGAGCAACAACCCATCCCCTCCAACCCTTATCCTCATCCCTTCACACCACTTGAAGGACTTCTCCATAAATCCCCATGTCCCAGAGCCAGGTGCCGATGTGCAATTGGGGTTTGGAGGTGGCTCAGAATTGGGATGGGGCGAGACAAAAACAGCCTCTATAACCTCTTGCTGGGTATGGCCTGATGTTAACAGATCCCAAAAAGGCTTTTTCCTCCAGCCTGGTGGACCCTTGGGGTTTGAAGGTGATGTCCTGGGGAAAGGGGGGATGCCTGTGGAACCAAGCTGCCTTCACTGGCTGGTGCCAGCCCAGCCAGGACCTCACTGGCAGGATGCTGATATTAACGGGTGGTTTCCATGGTTTCTCACCATTTGCATAGGATGCTCCTTAGGAACGAGAGCTGGGGGTGGCAAAACAACAGGGAGAGTTGAAGGCATGCGGTGCGGGGGCCACCCAGGGACTCCTCCGCATTCCTTACCTCAGCTCATGTTATCTGTTTCCAACTGAACATCCCTGGATACTGGGGAAAGAGGAAAATGAGCACAGGCATCCCATCTCCCACCCTGTGCCATATCCTTATGCTGCTTATCGTGCCCTTACACACTGTCAGTGTCTGGAAATGCAGGCAATCCACAGCTAGCTTAGGCACAAGAAAGGTGTTATTTGGGAACAACAAAAGCCAATGGAGCTCTCTGGGCTGATGGGGCTAGAACAGGAGGAGGTGTTTACTCTTTGTCAGGCCCGAAGGGAACATTTCCCTCCTGTGGCTGCAGGTGCCAGAGCAGATGCCCGGGGTGCAAACAGCAATAAGAAGTGAAAAGAGGCATTGCTTTGGGCAGCGATACAGAAGCGTTTTGGGTCTTTTTCCAAATCATTTGGTGAAAAATTGGTTTGCAGGAACCGATAGGAATGAATGAACTGGTTGGATCCTGAAGACTCTGCAGGTGTTAGTTTAATAAATGATACCTGCATCTTCCCCTGGGCTTGATTTTGTCCCACAAAGGCACATAAATGGGTGATGCTTCCCTAGGACTGAGCACCTGCTGGCACACCCGATTTCATTTATCATGATTATAATGATGTTTATTGGTTTAGCCTCATTTTTGGCTGCTCTTGCAGAGGGTGGAGCCCTCTGGCTGCTCAGGATCCTCATCCCTATCCACATCCCCATGCATCCCATCCCCATCCATCCTTCCCCTGCAAGTGGGATGGCTTCATGGGTGCACATGGGACTCCCCGGTATCCGGGTGGGGAAGAAGGAGTGAATCTAAGCAGGGGGCTGCTGTATAGACCCCCCCATCTGGCTGCACTGATCTCCCCTCCCAGTGTTTTTAGGACCGGACGATATTTCGGAGAGGCAGGCAGCTCTCCCATTGGTTCACAGCCCCGCGATGATGTAATTTCTGACCAATCCGAGGGAGAACAGCACCTTTCCTCCCCCCCCCCCTTCCCCCTGCCAGCCCTCCCTCACCGCTGGTACCCAGCGCTAGGGCTGGTGCATCCCGGAGGGGTGGGGAGCAAAAATGGGGGGGACCCCCAAAAAGGAGGATTCCCGGGATGGCCCAGCTCTGGATGAGGGATCCTGGGGACGTATCCTGCGCTGGGTGCTGAGCGCTGGGGAAGGTGAATGGGGCTGAGCCTGCAGTGACTGGGATGCTCCACGTCTTCACAGGACCATGAATCCTCTGGGATAAGGGGACTCCAAACCTGCGGATCTTCTCGCTGAAGGGTCCGTGGATACTGAACGTTGGAGGGGTGGAGGTTGGAGATGTCCAGGAAGAGGAATAGAGAGAGGGGGTGCAGAGCCCTCCTCCAGCACTGCAACCCCCCTATGGCTGTAGGACGGCTAAACACCGAATACACTCGCCCCATCCTCAGGGTTCCCCTGGGATGCCCGCTCTGGGCAGAGGGGCATCATCCCCTCACACACAGACCTTTCCATATGGCCAGCCGGATGGAGCACAGCCTGCACATGGGTTTTTCCCTATCTCTCCTATCCCCTCCGCCCATGTTGGCACTGGGATGCTGAGCAAGTTTCCCTGAGCCAGCAGGCTGCAGCCATAGGAATAAGCAAACCCTTTTCCTCATGTTTCTCCTGTGGCCTCCTCTTGCTGCCGGGGCTCTTTCCACCCCAAAACCAGACTGGCTCCATGGCCAGCCTCTCCTCCTGCCACCTCCTATCCTGGAGATGGTCCCAAACCCAGGTAAGCTTGAATGAGAAAGAAGTGGTCCATGGCCGCCCACAGTCCCCACCACCCTGCGCAGACCCAGATCTCCTTGGTCTCCTCTTTCTGTGCCTTGTCTCACTGGCACCAGCACACACTGCCAGGGAAAACCAGTTCCCTGGGGCAGCTGGCAGGGCAGAGGGTGGCAGCCCTTAGGGATGGTGCCCACCAAGTGTCCCCAGAGCCACAGCCTTGCACAGGGTCTCCATGGACTGAAACCAAGCTCCATTCCCCAACACTGCTGGTCTTGTGGAGCTCCAGGTGAGACCCCCCAGAGCATCTGCAGTGGCTGAGAGAGCCACGATCCCTGGTACCAGCAGCATCAGAGACCACCCTTGCAGCCACATGGGTCCCCACAATGGCTCTTTGTCCCCCCCTCTTGACTCTTTCTTCCCCTTGTCCCGTCTGTCTCAGGGCTTCAGCTCCTCGCATGTCCCAAGGGCATCCCATCCATGGCACCCACATCTGCATGGGCACCTGAGTTCTGTTGAGCTGGGGCATGGAGCTCGCTCATCACCCATGCAGAGAGGAGCCTGTTGGAGGGGAGCAACACGTCATTGATACTGAGCTTATGCAGGATGTGATGGATAACTCACAGCCGAGCTGTGGTGTCACATGTGTGATCTCAACCCCATTTCCAGCTGGGTCACCCTGTCCTTCCTCACGTCCTGCAGCCGTGGGCTTTGCAAAACCACCCTACATTTGTTTTCCAGGGGGAACCACCTCCCCACATTGCCCTCATGCTCATTGCATAACTGAGGAGACCAGCACCTAAATATACCCACATGGTTTCCCAGGGGTGCCGGGCCTGCGATCACCGTCAGGCACCACCATCGGTGACAAATAGGTCAGGGTGAAGCAGATCTAGGGAAGGAGAGTCAGATTAAGGGAAGGGCACAGCCCTAAAGGGGTGTCTGACCTCTTCTGGGACTCCCTGGGGATCCCCTCTCACCTCAGCATCCGCAGCAGCATCGCACCGAAATAGCTTCAGGATTTGGAACTCGGCCTCTCCAAGCTCCCCTTACCCAGTTTGTAGGAGGAGGATAACGAGTCCTCATGTGCCATTGGGGCTGGGAATGGGTCACACAGCATCCCAGCCCTGGGAGGATGGAGGGGACACCCTGTTTCTCCCCGCCATGGAGATGACAACCCATGGGTGTGAGGTGGGGGATGCCATTAGGGCCCATTAAACCCTCTGTGTCCCCTTCTTTGTCACTTTGCCACTCTCCAGCTTTGTTCTGCTCTAGCAGAGAATCAAACCTTGCATCCCATCATGCTCACACCCCTTTCAACCCATCACCCCCCCCCCCGAACTCCACCAAAACCCCCTTTTTTGGGTCTAAATCCATCTCCCCCCCACACCCCCTTTCCCTTTTATCCTTTTTTCTTTCCCCTTTTTAATACGTTTTCCATTATTATTCCCAGGCCCATCCCGAAAATAGCAGCTGGGTGTGATGTCACCGGGCTGGTACCCGGTTCGTAGAGCCCGCGGGCCAATCAGCGGCGGCGGCGCGGCTGCGCCAATGGCGGGCCGGGGAGGTGATGTCATAGGGGCGGGGGGGTGATGTCATGGGGGGCTCCGGGCCCCCCGGCTGGGATGCTCCGTGCAGACCCCCCGCGCCAGCGTTAAAGGAGCCCGGAGAGAGCGGAGGAGCAGCCTGAGCGCCGGCGGAGCGGTGAGTGCGATGGGGGGGACCCCTTTGCTCCATGGGGGGTGTCTGTGTGTGGGGTGTGTGCGATTTGGAAGGAGAAAAGTTCTTTTGGGAGGGGTTGAGGAGGGGGCACTTTTCCAGGGGGGTACCTGGATGTCGCTTTGTGCCCGCGACACCCCTCTTTTTCCCCATCCCTCCATCGTCCCCCAGTTCATCCCTTTTGGGGCGTACCCACTGCGACCCCAGCAGCTACCTCTTCCTCCATGGGGCTGGTGTGTGTTCCCCGCCTCGACAACCAAGCTCGGGCTGCTGGAGAGCCCCTCGCATTCCCTTCTATCTCCCTCGCTCCATGGGCTTCATCCAGCTCTGCCACGCGTGGCAGCCCACGCCCATGCTGTGGGGATACAAGGATGGGGCTCAGCATCCTCTGCCCCAGCAGCCCTGGGGGGACCCGTAGCTCACTATCCCCAGGACCCCGAGGAGGGGGCGGCACCCTGCCCGGGGCACTCTCATCCCAAATGCGGGTGCAGGACCCCTTCCCGGAGGGCAGGGCTGGTCTGGATTATTGATGGTGGCAGGATGCTGGTGGAGGTGACCTGTTCCAACAGGCGCTGAAAGATTTATTCCAGGGAGGGAGGAGGCAGCTGCCATCCTGGCTCTCCTTTGGAAAGGTGGGGTGAAGCATCCAGCGCTTCAAGGAGGGGAGTGAGGAGCCCCTCCATTCCTCCATCACCTCCCTCCGCTGCTTCTCCCAGGGAAAGGGATGGAAAATGGGGGGTCCCCACCGGCTCAAAGGATCTAAAGTGGAGATCAGGGTGTGAAACCCAATGCATGGGTTTCAGAGCTGCAGCTCTTTGGGGTGCTCCCCCCCCTCCTCCCCGCCATGTGCTCTCCAGGAGCAGCATCATTCCCACTGATTCCCAGTCAGTGCATCACGCCGGGAGCAGGATCATCCCCACAGCCTCTCCACACTGGGCTTTGAGCGAGGTTTCAGCCCGGGGGTGACAGCAGCAGCAGGTCCCCAACCACACCTCGCTCCCCTTGCCTGGCCATGCGGGTCGGGAGCACCGGGGTGGCAGAGAGGGAAGGGAGCTCATCATGGAGGGTGTTTCCTCTCCAATTGCCTAGAACAGCATCTTCATCCAGCGAGGAGGAGGAGTGGGGCTGCTGACAGCATCGCTGGTCATGGACCCCATCCTCCTCCCCATTTTGGGTCTGATGGGTGATGTCTTCATTTTATCTTCCAGCCAGGGCATGAACTGGGAGGTCTGGAAGCAGGGTTTTTTATAGCACAAAATGCATCCAGACACCAGCGAAAAGGAGGATTTGGGGTGGTTGTGCAAGGAATAGGGAGGCACGAGCAAGGCAAATGGTTTTTCCAGCCAGGCACATGCTCGTGCTGGCACACGATCCATCAGAGCATCCCCACCCTGCTTCGGTGCTGTGCTTGGCAGGAGCTGCCCTGGGCAAAACCCTTCAGCCAGGCGAGGAGCAAACCCCTGTGTAGCCCCCAAACCCAACAGCCACAGGGGGCACTGAGAAGAGGGAGCCATCTCCAGGGAAGCTGTCCCCGAGACATGCCCCCACATTTTGTCCCTGTGTTTCCTCCCCAGCAATCCCTGGAAGCTGCGGGCAGGTTATTTGTGCAATCCCGGTGTCAGATCCCAGCAGGATGGGGGATGAGGGGCTGGGAATTCTCGGACCCCCCCCTTGTTCAGCTGGGTTGGGGGTGTTAGTGCTGTGGGACAGCAGTATACAGATACTGCTCCTTCCCTGGGAGGCTGCAAGGATTTAAGACCCTATTTTAAAGAATGGATTTTTTCTTCCCCTTAGAAACAAAAGCCATGAATAATTCCATAAACCAAACTCAGCCCCCATTTTGGCACAGCTGGGAAAACCCTCTGACGCCACCGACACCCCATTGTGTCCCCCCGAAACCTCGAGAAAGGGGGATGGCCCCTGTTTATTGAGGCTTTAATGAATCTCTGGGTGCTGCTGCCCCATGCCAACTGTTATGCTCACTCTGGGGTATGGATGGGGAGCCCTGGGGATGCCCCCACGCCTCACCCACAGGCACAGAGACCCCTGGAGAGGGGGATGCAGGCAACGGTCCTTCTGCGTGTGGTCTGGAGGGGGCTGAGCTGAGGACTGGGGCTCTCTTGACATGAATGGAGGGGCAGCAGGAGTGTGCTTGGATCACAGCAGAGGCTGTGCAAAGGGGTCACCCTTGTGTGGGGTGCACGTGTGTGCGCATGTGTGCTCCCGCTGCTCCCGGCACATGTGTGCACACGTGTGGGCTGTGCAGGCTCCTTCCCCACCGGCTGCTGCCATCATCCCAGTGCGTGCCCATTGCACCACCAGTGCGTGTCCATCCCATCACACCATCCCAGGGTATGCCTATCCCAACAGCACATACCCACATGTCTGTGTGCCCGTCACACCTCCCAGTGTGTCCCTTGCACCACACCGGTGGGTACCCATCACACCAGCGTGTGCCCACCCCAGTGTGCAGGGTGGGAGGCTGTGCATGGGCAGTGATCCCATGGCAATACCCCCAACACCCAGCACTGATCCTGGCTCTTTCCTTCTCCAGGCCCCAGGAACACTCTTTGCTGCAGACACCCAAGGATCTTCAAGCCATGACTCTGGCTGGTACGGTACCATCATGGGGACAGGGGACAGCATGGCTTTTCTGGCCCTGTGTATCCAACTTTGGAACCTAACCCCATGCTGGGGCACCCCTAGTTTGAGCAGGACCCCATCCAAACCACCCTAGGGATGGCTGTGCCCCAGGCTAAGCCATGCCCTGAGATGCTCACAGCATCCCAGTGGTGACAAGCAAGGTGTCATGTGTGTGGTTAACACACCAGGACAGACATAACCCATGTGGCCATCAATAAAGCACCCCACCACTGCGTGCCTCAGTTTCCCCTTTGCACACTTTGCTTCCCCAGGTCAGTTCACCCTGCTTGCAATATCTGGGCACATTCAGTGCCAGTCACTATCCCCATCCCAGCCCTCCCCTCGCACATGGAGCCTCCCACTCCTCTGACCCCAATCCCACCATCTCTTCCCAGCTTATAAAGAGAAGATGAAGGAGCTGCCTCTCGTCTCCCTCTTTTGCTCCTGTTTCCTCTCAGACCCCCTGAGCAAGCCTGCATACACGTATGAAGGTAGGACCCTGCAGCCCACCCGTGCCAAAGGGGTGCATGAAGGGAGGGATGTGGGGGCCTGCAGGAACCCCTTGGCATGAGCAGGGTCACCTTCAAACCAAGAGGGGTGGCTCCACAGCTTCTGGCAGTGTCTGGAAGCAGGGGGCTGGGTTGGGATGGGGGGAGCTTGGGCAGCCCCACTCCACCACGGCTCCACAGCACGAAGCACCAGGCGTGGGCTCAGTATTTTTAGGCAGACGGTGCCGAGTGATTCAGGCTGATTCATGTCAGCGGGTCCAGAGGCGACAGCGGTGATGGAGGGGGATGCCCAGCCTTGGGGTGCTCATCCTGTGTAGTGGGGGGGGGATATCTGCAGAAAAAGGGGCTTCATGGTCTTGTTCCCATTCCCTGGAGCAGGGTGAACTCTGCCTTGATTGCTCATCTCTCCCTCAGTGGGATGCCCAGCCGCTCATCTCACTCAGCCTCATTAATACGTGTGCATATCCCAACCCATGACAGTGGGGTGCAATAGGGTATGGGGATTTGAGTGAAGGTGGTGGCCCATTGGTGGAGGTGGTTTGCCTGAAGGGGTGGGATGTGTCCATGGTGGTGGTCACCCCGTGCCCCTCTCCAGCAGACACGGTAGACCTCACCTGGTGCGTCATCTCCGACATGGAAGTCATTGAGCTCAACAAGCGCACCTCAGGGCAGTCCTTTGAGGTCATCCTGAAGCCCCCATCATTCGATGGCATCCCTGAGTTCAACGCTTCCCTGCCCCGGAGACGTGACCCGTCCCTGGAGGAGATCCAGAAGAAGCTGGAAGCGGCAGAGGAAAGGAGGAAGGTAAATCCAGTGGCTTAAGTGTGGCAGTGCAGCATGGGGACGTGCCATGGGGACATGATATGGGGACATGCAAGCTTTCACTCAGCAGCATACACCCAGTTCTGGGGACAGTGCTGAGTCTGGAGAGGGTGGTTTTAGCCAGGAGGGGATGGGACCCATGGTCCCCGTGACCATCATGTCTACTTCGTCTGCACAGTACCAAGAGGCCGAGCTGCTGAAGCATCTGGCGGAGAAGCGGGAGCACGAGAGGGAGGTCATCCAGAAAGCCATTGAGGAGAACAACAACTTCATCAAAATGGCCAAGGAGAAGCTGGCACAGAAGATGGAGTCCAACAAGGAGAACCGTGAGGCCCATTTAGCAGCCATGCTGGAGCGCTTGCAAGAGAAGGTAAGAACCCAGTGAGGAAGGATGGGGGAACGTGCTGGGTCACCGGTCCAGAAGGGTGTCACAGCACACTTGGGCACCCTGCATGGCTCTTGGGCTGGCTTTATCCCCTGGGGACACCACCAAAATGGGGCCACCTCTTCCCTTCCCACCATGCAGCAATACCCAAGCGTAGCATCCCACCCGGGGTGGGGGGTCCTGCCCAGGGATCCACCAAGCCTGACGTGTCCATAGGCTCACGAGTGGTCGGCGGGTGGAGAGCTGGGACCCACACCTTTTGCTTTCCCCATGTCCCACCGTGATGGCTGTGACCCTTTACTTGCAAGCTTCCCACCTCCTGGGTGGCAGATCTTCCCCAGAAGCTGTGGATCCATCAGCTCCCTGGTGGAACTGCAGGGGTCCATGCTGCCGTGCTAGGAGATGCTTCCACCCTGCCAGCTTGTGCAGACCTCTTCTCTCTCCCCGAAGCAGGTCTGTTCCCAACCTCAGCACGGAAGGTCCCACCCTCACCACCTCCAGCTCCCTCCAAAACATCCCTTCTGCAAGGAGCTCGCCCAGTGCCCTTCTCCAAACGCTTCAGCTAGCCTTGGGTCAGAGGCAGAGAGCACGAGATAATGAAGGACAATCCGAGCTAACCCATCTCCTTGGGGCTCCCGGTCCATGCCGTCTGGTTGACGTCTACCTCCTAGCTAGAGGGCGAGGACAATCTGTCCCTGAGTGCCTCCACAGCCCTTAAAACACCCCAAGGGGAGGAGAGGACGCTGTTGACCCATCGGTGGTGTCCCTCGGGGGATGAACCTCGCGAACGCCCTCGTGCCTTCGAACCCCTCTGAAGCTGCTGGCCTGCCTGTGGGGACCCTGAAGTCCATCCAGCTAACGCGTGTCCCCCCCCCCTCCTTCCCTCCTACCCCCCTCCCACAGGACAAACACGCGGAAGAAGTGAGGAAAAACAAGGAGCTCAAGGAAGAGGCCTCCAGGTAAAGAGGCGATGGTTGAACTGACAGCTCCGGGGAGGTGGCGGAGGCTGCTGCAGCGCAAGGTCGGACGGTGGAAGGGTGGACGTTCCTCTGCTTTCTTTGTTCGTGAATGTAAAGAGTTGACCAGTGAAGCCATCCTAGTCGTTTTGGGGTGGGTGGGGAGGGAGCAGAAAGGAGGGAGGGTGGGAGGGAGGGAGCTGGCTCCGGGATGCCCACCTCCTTGGTGGGTCTTGTGTGCTGCCCATCAACCAGGTCCAGAGAGACAGCCAAGAGCTGGTGAAGCAGAGGAGGTGACCCCCCCCCCAGGGAAAAGCTGGAGGGGGATGAAGCGGGTGGGGAGGGAAAGGGGGGGAAATGTGCGTTGTGTGTGACTTTAATTTGGTGCTGGGCAGGCAGGGCGGGCAGGCAGACATCCCTCCGGCGTTGCTCTTCTCCTCCATCCCACCCCATCAATGGCCAGTGGCATCTTTTGATGTCCCCCCCTCTCTTTTCCCTGCCTGGACTCAGGGTTTCTCACCCCGAGCGGGTATTATTTGCCCATAGACCTTACAGAACCATTGTGGGGAAGGGGGAGAAGAGATCCCCTGCCTTGGAGGTGGTCAGAGAGTGAGGCTCACCAGCTCCAAAGGCTTTATGTGTAGGAGATGCTGATGATCCTTTTCAAGGGAAAAAATTGAAAAGCCCTGTGACTTCCCAAAAAGCTGCTTTTTTTGGGGGGGGTGGGGTGGGGGAGGGTAAAAACCTCCTGAGAATCATCTTTGTGGGAACTCTTAGATGAAACCCCTTTTCTGCTTTAGAGCAGCTGGAAAGCCATCGGCTTCTGGAGGTGGTGGTTCAGATGGTTATTGAACAGGGAGTGAGAGCAGGAGAGGAAAACAGGGCAGGGATGTGGAAACCATGATGGAAGGGACAAGGAAAAACCAGAGGGAAAGCAGCAACAGGCATCGGTCCCAGGGCTGTGGTGCCCTGGCACCTCATCAGCCTCCAACCGTGATGCTAGCATAGGGTTTGCTCTCCGCTATGGCCAGACAAGGCTTCCCAAGCTCTCATTCAGGTCTGGAGGGAACCGCGTCTCTTTACCTGTGCTCCAAGATGCTCACCCAGACCCTGGAGCCCCGGGGCAGGGAAACACGGGAGAGGGCAGCGGGTGAAGCAGACGGGGGGGCTGTTCCAGCTGTGGCACGAGCTGTCCTTTTTTGTATACAACAGTTGTAAATAAACTGCCTTGGCATACCTTTGGTTTTCTCATGATCTGTGCAGTGTCTTCTGTGTGGCTTTTTTTACAGGGGGCATCCCAGTGCTGGACTGGGAAGGGGAAAGGGACCAGGGCTGGGGCATTATGAGGGTGGGAGGGAGCTTTTGTGTCAAGGGGATGGGTGCGTTTCACCCCCATGGCCCAAACAGCCCCAGCAGGGTGGGACTGCTGCAGCTTTGGAGCCCTTTGGCCTTCCAGCACTATCGGCCCCTTGCACCCAGCCATGCACCCTGGGCTCTTGCACCCCTGGGGCACACAGTGGTGATGCTCTCTTACACCACACCTGGAGCAGGGAGCTGGAGCCAGACTGCAGCCATGTGCTGGGAGCTGGCTGGCATGGCAAAGGAGCATGGAGGTAGTGGAGACATGCCAAGGTCTAAGCTGAGGCCAGATGACCTATCAGTCTATCCATGGAGCAGGTAACAGGGGAACGTCACGTCCTCAAGGCAAGGGGAAGAGCCAGGGGATTTCTTGCTCTCCAGCCCTAAGGTGGAAGCAGCACCAATTCTCCTGCTGTCTTTTCTCACCCTGAGCAAGGTGATGGCACCAAATGTTAGGATTAGCACTCCAGAGGGGACAAGCGTCCCCTCCTCCTCATCCAAGGAGGTCCTCCCTGACCTGATCTTCTCTGATCTGGGCTCAGGAGGCCCCCTCTGACCTTGGGAAGCCTTGGAAGGTGGGTGTCCAACCAAAGAGCTGGTGGTCCCATGGGTGTGGGATTCAGTGCCAACATTAAAACAAAGCCCAGGAGGGGACTCAGACCTCCTTGTGAACACAGCAGCCATGCTCAGGGGTTCCCATTGTGGCCAGGTATAACAGCAAAGGGGCCGTATCCAAAGGAGCCATGCAAGAAAGGACACAGGATCAGTGTTCATAGAATCCTAGAATGGTTTTGGTTTGAAGATCCAGCCTTCACCAAGGATTTCTTGTTGACCACCACTCCAGTGCCCCTTTCCTGCATTTTTCCAGTCTCGATGCCTTTCCCAGCCATGGGACTGGAGACCACAGAGCATGGGCTGGTAGCCCTCATAAACCACCTCCATCTCCAGTAAGGACACTAGGTCCTAATTATCACAGAGATGGAAATACTTGCGTTGACCTAACACGTCAGATGTAAACTGTCCCTGGAGCTTCCTCTGTTTTGAGTAGCTGTGAGCCAAAACGGAAGGGCCTGTAGCTGTTCCCCCAGCAAGACACACACATACACACAGAGCTCAGCAGCAGCCGGTACCCCAAGGTACTCTGCAGCAAGAATGTGGCACGTCCAAGTGTGCAGGGGCCTGCCGGGCTCTCTGGTCAGTGCAGCGATGCACAAGACCCTGCTGGGTGTCTGCCTCATGGCTGCACTCGATGAGGCTCTGTCATTATAATTTCCTGCCCCATATCACTTTAGACAGCTCTATAATGGGACCAGCCAAATTAACAAGGCAGGCCTTAGTTTGAGTGTGAAAGGGAAGAGTGGAAGAAGGAGCCAGGCTCACAGTAGGGAATCCTGTCCCGAGGGGAGTCGGACACACTTTCCTCCCCCAGTCAGGATTGAGTGTACAGGGTCATTTGATCGAGTGTTTTTAGTCTCTTGCTTAGCCACACACTGCTGTGTGCTGCCCAAAGCCCAACACCCAGCAGATCATAGACTCATAGGATGATAGAATCATAGGATGAATCATAGAATGAAGCAGAATGATTTGTCTTAGTGTAGTCCAATATGAAACCCTTAACTTTAGGGGAGTTTTGGGGTGCAGAGTCTTGCAAAGCCACCTGTATGCAGATAACCGTATCAGTAATGCCATAGAAAGACAAGACTGCCAGCTGCCAGTCATGACATCAGATATAACAAATTTGAGTATGGATGTAGCATGATTTGGACCAATAAATAAAAAATAAAGAAATTAGGGGCTGATTTGGCTTAGAAAAAGATGTGATAAAGTAGAAATAGAGAAAAAAAGAATAAGTTATGAAACTGGGTAAGAAACACAGGAGAATGGGATCTTTCAGTGGATGGAGGATGGATGACTACAGACAGTGGTGCCTCTGACCTGAGTACTCAACTGCATGGGATACCCTTGGACAACCTGCTGGACTCTCCATCAGGGCTATGTACAAAAGGTTTAGTGCAGAGGTTAGAAAGGGAGACATTTGCACCCTGGTATGAACAGATGTGGAGAGGGAAGGATAGTAAACTAATACAGCAACAGTAGCATGTGATTCATAAGGTTTGCAATACCTTTATCATTGTGTTCAATAATGTGCAAAATCAGACTGTAGATTAATAATGCTAACATTAATTAATTAGGTTGTTGCTTATTCAAGTGATTTATCAGTCTCTTAGTAGGGGATTGCTTAACCAGGGGACATCATGGCCTTTTGAACGCCTGCAGTCCAAAGAGGGGGGTCAGGTCATGAAGGAAAGGCATTATATTAGAGATGCATATGCCATGAGCCAATAAAGCTTTCCTCCCACTGCTGGTGGTGCTCAGAGGTTCATGACATGTAATGGTACAACAGCGTGTAGGCCAGCCCATTGCGATTCCCAAACACCATCAGACATGTCTTAGGAACATCCCTTAAGGAAGACTACCAGGACAAACCCAGCAGAGAGAAAGACAAATGATGCTGTTTCATTATGTTACAGATGTTAGTCTGTAGGATGCTTGGAAGGTAACTTCTCTGCTTCATTTGCCTATGAAAAATGAAGTTCCAGGAAAAATATAAAGTAGTGTAAAAAAGCTACAGAAATCATAAAGGAGTGAGCAGAACATCAGTTGGGAGACAAGTTTTTGAGAGGAACAGTGCTTTGTCTCCAATACATCTGCTTTTCCCCTTCTCTGAACCCTCTTTGAACTCAACTGTGCACATGAAACAGGAAAACGAGAATCTAATTAAACATCCATCCCTAAGCACAATAAGGGCTGAGGCCAAGTCCCAGCCTCCACCTCTTGATCCTGCAAAGAGGCAAAGTCAGGAAAAAAGGAGGGCCTCTCACTGCAACTACAAGTGGAAATGTAAAGACAGCAACAATGAATTTTCTTTATCCACAGTAAGGCAGTAAAAAAAAGACTTAAAATCGTGTCCAATCATTCCTGTAGACAACTTTTAGGGTGGACACAAAACTGGTTCCAAGTTCTTTGCCGGAGAAAGGACAAAAAGGTGAAAATGGAATGGAAAAGTTGAAAATCTTTTCATTTTGAGTAGTATTATTGCAGCTAACTCATGTCCATGTGTGTAACACAATGTCTGCCAGACAAGGGGAGGGTCACTGCACACCTTCCTCCTCCTTTGCTTTGACACTCTTCCTGGATGATGCATGCTGGCTCCCCCGGCTTTCCTCAGGGCCATCTCAGCACCCTAGCACATCCCTGCAGTGATGGACCTTCAAATATGTACTTGGTGATGTGAACAAAGAAACTCTGCCAAGACCAGAAAGTCTCATCTTACAACACAGTAACTGGTCTATCACATCCCATGTGGAAAACACATACAGGATTGTTGGGTCTTTGCTTCCCTCTAAAATACCATTGGGTTGGTGGCCAGAGCACTCAGCATCTCCCTTCAGCTTAAGGTTCAGCCTCAGTCCATCATCACTCCATCAGATTTAGTCTCAAGCCTTGGGCATGCCCAAGCCTGCCAAGGACTGCTGCTACCCAGTGAAATGACAAGCCAAATGCTTGTCTTTGCAAAGCCTT